CTCTCTCTCTCTCTCTCTCTCTCTCTCTCTCTCTCTCTCTCTCTCTCCCTCCCTCCCTCCCTCCCTCCCTCCCTCCCTCCCTCCCTCCCTCCCTCCTCTCTCTGTTATGGTTGTGGGGAAAATAGGAGGAAGAATGAATATAAGATATGTTTGCCATCATAAGTTATTTATAAAAATAATAAAGGCAGATTTTTAAAAAATCTAAAATAAAAACAGATAAAATAAATTTTAAGAGTTCCACTCAACATCTTGGATCATTACCTAAGTGTTCCCTTGTGGGTCTGTCCTGTTCCATTGAACATTTTGAAGTTTAAGAGTTCTACACAATGCTTTGGAGTGTTTTTGTTTTCTTTGTTAGTAGCTTCAAGGCATAAATTTCCCTACTCTTTCTTCCAAGGCAGCTCTTAGAGAATCTAACCAGAAAAATGAGGAATACCTCAAGCTTACAGAGCTCTCCTGAATTTATTCTGTTTCCCACTCTCTCAGTCATTTGCATACATTCAGACTCATTCCTCCTTCTCATTTTAAAGTCAGCTGTGTGCATAGATTAAAGTATCAGATGAAGGTTAGCCTTTTGTTTTTAAATCAGGAGAAAGAGTTGTATAAAGCCAGCCATTATACTACTTTGCTTAAAACTCAGCAGTTGGTTATAACTTGTTATAGCAATAGCACTTAGACTTATATACCACTTCAGAGTGCTTTACAACCTTCCCTAAGCAATTTACAGTCAACATATTGTCTCCAACTATCTAGGTCCTCATTTTACTGACCTCAGAAAGACAAAAGCGTCAATCAACTTTGAGTTGGTCAGGATCGAATTCTTAGCAATGGGCAGAGTTTGCAATATTGCATTCTAAGCACCATGCCACCATGGCTCTTACAATTTGTTATACCAAGTCCTTTTGAAAGTTTTTTTAAAATCTTCTCCCTTTCATCTAAAGTATTAGCCACTGCACCCAGTTTTGTCATGCACCAACTTTATAAATGCCCCCCTCAAATCATTAATGATGAAAATATTGTACAGCACAAGATGCAAAGTCCTGTGGAATTCTACTAAATATTTCTCTCCAGGTGAATGGCGGGGGGTTGATTGGTGAGCACTATTACAGTACAATAATTCAGACAACTTTGGGTCCATTTAATGGTGAGATCATCTCATCATATTTTAACATTTGAGTAAGGTAAATATCATGAGGCACTCTGTCAAAGGCTTTCTTGAGGTATAAGTCCAGCTTAGGAAATAAACATTTCCCTAGATAGTTGACCTTTGAAATACTTGTTTGTAAGAAAATGCTAAGTTTTCATACTTTACATTATTTTCAGTCCTAGTTGTCAGTATAATAAAATGTACAGTTATCTATCTTCCTTGCTGGAGAGGAAAATTGCCAAATTTGTCTGTACAGCAAAACTTATCACAGAGAAGGAGGTTAGTATAATTAGTATAATTCCTAAAAATGAACACTGTCCTACACTGTTATTACGTGAATGACCTAAAGATTGGTGGATATATAATGAAAGAGAAATCCATTGGGGCAGTGTGATTTCCTTTTGTTATGTATTTAAGACTGAAAAACAGTCTTCACTATTCACTGTTCCTTGAGAAGAAGGAAAAAAATAACAATAACAATAATAATCATTGTTCTTGGGGGGGGAAGATGACTGAAAAACAAATCCTATGACAAATCTGTAAAGAACATTTTCATTGAATGTCTAAAATGCAAGTGTGTGTTTCTTTTTAATTTTGTAGAAGACCTTCATGGGAACAATCATGTTACTTCCTTTTTCTTTCCATTTTCTATCCGAGTTCTAATGAACACCATATCAGGACAGTTATCTTGTTGCAAACGACTAGGAGATAGTATCAATTGTAAATTTATTTTATCTTTACTCGAGAGGTAAAATCATTTTAAATCACTGTGATGATAAGGAAAGACAACATGCGAGACCTGGCTTATTCCGAATTGTATTTTTGGAATTAGTGCATACAAACAGTAAATTAAATGTCCCCACCCTTGAAAGCTAGATTCTTCTGAGTTTTCCAGATGTACGTATTTTGAGGTTATCATCATACTGCTGTACAGGATCCAAATCTTAGTTTATGCGTACAACATTCACTTCTATTATAAAACTGTTACATTCTCCTTGGTCATTCCAATCTTCATAACCCAGTAAATCTGTCAATTGCAAGATGCCTAGCAAGTCATCTGTTGAGGTGTATCCATGAAGTCATTTGTAATGCCTCATACAATGAAACGTATGCAGTGTTGTAAAGTTGCAAAAAGTTAAATTTTAACTGAGAAAAAAAATTATCCAAGGAATAGATTATATATACCTTTAATCATGTCAAGGATCAATATAGATCAATATAGAAGATCAATATAGAATGAAATAACCAACTGTTTAAAAGTAAAAGAGGAGGAGAAGAACCAGATATAAAGCACAATATAGTGCAGAATATTTTCACTTCTGTTACTAGCTACATCTATATCTATAGAATGCTATTTGTCTAAAACTAAGGAATATAACTAAAATTCTAAGATTTAAGTTAAAAAATTATTTGTTTGTTTGTTCATTTGTTTGTTTAATTATTGAAGTTCAAACCGTAGCCAGAGTTATATTATACTGAGTAATGGGCATTAGTTAACTTAGATCTTATCATACTAGCAGTATACCAGAATTCTGCAACATCAGAGAAGCAGAAGTTATATACTGAAAATATCAGAATGACTTGAACATTTTTCCAAGTGAGGGAAAATAAAACAGATTCTAATATCTGTATAAAAGCAACAGTCCAGTGTCCCTTTGTTTCCTTTCCTACATCAAAATAATTACCTTTCCCTAATTGCTTGAAATGTGCTAGATCGATTGTGGGGCATAAAAATTAAACCACCAGGGAGGAAATGAGACACTTAAGGACCAAAAGTTTTTAAAAATGCCTCCAATGTATGCACACAACTCTTACATGGTCTGGTGCAATGAGGGCCTGCCTTAGAAATAATGGTCTGAGTATGGACAAAATTGAGTAGAACTTCAGAACTTTTGTGCTATTGGGTTTATGACAATGGTTTGGCTGCTTTAAACATGTACTGTATATCATTAACCAGTTTGGCATGGTAGCATTATAAGTTGCTGATTCAGATTCCAACCGATCTAGTTTTGCATTTTCTAGATCTCCTCAGACTTGACAAAACACATTTACAACTATGGTTTGGCATATGTCACAGTTCCAACTACGTAGTCTATCATCTGTAAAGCCAGATAGAGCACTGTTTGCACTTCTGTCTAAGAACCTTTTAATTGGGGACTGAAACTTTCCATTGAAAAACACAGTTTGCAGCTGAGTTATATACTACTCTTGCGTGAGACCTTCTGCTAAGTCTGGCTCTTTTTTGAATGGTGAGCTCTGAAAACTGTAGTATCATCGGCAGTACTGCGGTTAGGTTCCAGAAATATTTGCTCATAATTGTAAAATGCATCAAATTGTAATGTTGTACCCTTTTGGAGTGATTTCAGATATTATTATTTTTAATAGTAAAAAAAGAGATATCCCAAAGCCCAAGAAAAAGATTACATGAAGTTCAAAGTAAAATAGGTAAACATTATCTGTTTGAGGGGTCCTTGGTGCTCTCTGAGCTTATTTGTTTTCTTGCAGATGTTTCAATACCCTAACTAGGTAACATCATCAGTGCTGGTCAGGAGTGCTGTTTGCTGTAAGTTTGTATTTTCGTGTCTTGCCTGTCTGTGTGGGTTTATAGGTTTATGTGACATACTGTATGATTTCTTCTCATTCTGTATGCTCGGTTCAAAATTTACAGTATGAAAAATTGAAATTACTTACCATTAGTTGCCTTTTTCAAATAACTTCTTGTGTAGGCCTATTGTAAGCTTTTATTGCACTCTTGAGCTTTTCCCAGCAAAATGTTTGTTGTACTCATTAAAATACCATGAGCATTTACTGGGTATAATGAGCACTCATTGCAATTTAATGAGTGGCCCTGCTAGCCTGTGGGTGCTAAACTCATACAGGTTTTGGCGGGTAGCCTTAGGGATAACAGAGGAAAGCTAAGATGGCTATATTCACAAGCATGTGCAACCTCACCCTCATCTAGAGTAGTTCCCACCCATTAATGTCCAGCTTGCCATTCTTCAAGGACATTCTTCAAGTTTGATCTATTCCTGGGACAAAGCTGCTGACATTACTCCCTTGTCATACAATGTTGGTATACATCTTTGGAATTGGAGAGGGCTTCAATTATGAATTATTGAATGTACAATTTTGACTAATGGATGGCACAATTTACAGAAGAACATTGGGGAAAGTATATAGGAGTGTCCATGACCTTTATATTAAATCATAGCTTTTTGGAATGCAGTGTTCTGCTCCTACCACTTATTTTGATTAGTTTTTGTTTTTCAAGCTTGTCATAGTGACTTCAGAATGAAATTAATAAAGGAGAATATTTGTAGCTCAGGGTTGAAATGAGAGGTCCTTGGTGCTCTCTAAGCTTGGTTGCTTTCTCTCAGATGTTTTATTATTCAAACTAGGTAGCATCATCAGTGCTAATAAAGAGTGGGGCTTGCTCTCAATTTATTCTAGTGGCTTGCCTTG